GTGTTTCATACATACTCCTCTACCCGATGGGTTGCGGAACGCCGGTTCAAACCTAGACCGGAACTATCTCAAAGCTAACCCCAAGCCACTAAACCCCAAACCCACGGCGCACGAAACCAGTCGATCACTGTCGCGGCCTGTTGGACGGCTTGAAGTTTGGATTGTTTGGAGTTCAGGCATTGCAAAGACTGAGTGTAAGGGTACTCACAATACTGATACACACCCGTGACAACCTTCCAGTAGGTAGGTTGGGCCCAAAATCTCCACGCTGCATGCCCCCACGGTCTGATAAGCGCTTGAGGTTGTCACTATACATGGGCCACCTGTACGGTCTGTCATTGTTTGGCTCCGCCCTAAACTAAATCCGAAACCCTCACTCTGCCTTATCTTGTCGTGGGTGGCAGGTGTGGTTCGCCTTGATATGTGGTGATCGTATGGCGTATGGCTCGCCCCAAAGTCTTGTGTTGAGCGTCGTACTCGGGTTCACGAGGGTCATGTGGGGTGTGCTCAGGTTTTCTGGGCAGCTTGCTCCTGAGTTTCGGTTGTCAAGGTGTGGACCGCCTCAGGTTCTAGGCTAGTAAGGTGTGGTCAGTGTCAGCTGTCTCGCACTTCTGGGCTTCGTGCTTCATGCTGTCATCCACTTGGCGTGTCAGGCACATTGTGGCCTTTCGGGATTATGGGCTGTCACTATGCCGACTGCTTGTGCGATTATCATGAGCATGCCTGAGGCCTCAACCCCCAAGTTCTCTTGATAATATGGAAATTAAACGGGACTTCCTCGAATGATCCCTGTGCTATCCCGTCACTGGACACCCAAACTCGCCTGTGCATCCCGACCTATCCCTGAGACCACCAAGGGTAGCCCCAGTTTTCGGTGAACCCAAATATGACTTCTCAGGACAGCAAACTCCTAGCATGCCCTCGCTTCCAAGGCCCGCCTGTGCGTCCAGGCCCTCCTTCACCTCCAGTGCAGGGCTTAGAGTTTAGGATGTAGCGCCTAAACGGGTTCAGGATATCCAGCACTTAGGCTTCAGGGTGCGGTTTTGTGTTTAGGCTTCAGCTTGTTCGGCTTAGATAGGCGATAGGTTCAAGGCTTCAGTGACGGTACTGGCGTTCCTCCACACATGCTCTGTCGATTCTAAACTGTTAATGCGAATGAATCCTTCATCATATTTGAAAACAAAAGAAACTCCTTAATCCAGGCACTTTTTAAGAACTTGCCCTAAAGCTTTCTCAAACCCGAACCACGGCAGGCGGCCTGGACCATTGTTCAGCGAAAACTGCATGGCCCCTGGGAAAATACAAAGCTCGCGGTTTCGGAGCTTGAGTCAAGGGTTGAGGGTTCAGGAAAAAATTCCGCGCGTTCTTGCGGAACAGGTCAGCCTTGTCGCAGCAACAACACACCAGGAACCCGATGAGATTCCCGCTTCGATGTCTGATTCGTCATTTGTTGTTCCAAATTCCAGTGACGATGTCCCAGCACTTTGTACCTGCTGTTGCGCCGTCGTTGTTACTCACGTTGCGACAAAAATCCCAGCACGTACACTATGATTTGCTTGCGCCAGCCCTTGCGCGAGCTTGCGCAGATATGGGTTCTTCAACCCCTCGTAAAAGCCCTTTTGGCGCCCTGAGTCTTGCTACAAGGGGCAGGGGTTTAGAACGGCATCCTAATATTTCCAGGGCAGCCCCAGGCTCCTGAGCAGCCTGCAATAGACTTCGCCTAGCGAACAAAGAACCTAACAGGGTCTACAGATGGCCTCTTTAAAGATACGACGTTCGTTCGTGGGAGAATGCTGAACCCTCAATGTATTGAAGGAGTCTTAGACTGTCCGGATTTTTGGGGGTAGCATTTTGACCCTCCAAGCCCCAAACACATTCCACCCGCTCTTTTGGCAGGCCCCCTTGAACTTGCCTCTGGGACGCAGGGCCTCTGGAAAGCAAGGAATGATGTGGATCGCCTGTCTCGTCCCCAGAATCCTACAATAACCCAATCATCCATTCCTTCAAAATGCCCTACCTTAAGACCCAAACCTGCAGCCCTGGACATATTCTGGAAATCAGGGCAGCTTCGCGTAAATGACTGCAGAACCCTAAGAGCCATGCCCCAAACCCCAAGCCCAAGAATAACCCCTAAAACTCAAAACTCAAGTCTGCCAGAAGCACCGCCCGAGTTTGCCAGCATCCGCGAAAGCTCTGGTGATAGGCTGCACCTCTATCCCCAACAAAAGGGCTGGAAAGAGGCTTGGAAAGGGCTAGGCGCAGCAAGTCTTGGGAGGCCCTGGACGATTCTTAGGTGTTGTTTTCGCCCGCCTAATTGAATCCTGACGAGAACAACGCTAGAGCACGCCAGGCAACGAATCCCACACCGGATTTGTGAAAGAAAGTTGTAACATAGGATTCCACAAAAACCTCAAAAAGTGATTTTTTGTGCCAGGCATCAGCTTAAGCCCCCCTGAACTGGAACCGTTAGCGATTGACCATGACATTTGAGTTTGCGTATGGCTCGCAACCGCCACTGCCAACGCCGCAAGCACCGCCACTTCCACCGCCGCCGCCAC